ATATTGTGAGAATCACAAGACCCAGACCTACATTTTGATGCATAGTATGTCTCTGAAATATTAAAAATGAAGGCACAGCCGCAGTTTAGAAATTGCCCTTCAAATTTGAGGTGGCTAGAGTGGAGTTTCAATGAATGTCAATGGGCGGCGTGAGTTGCAAACAAATGGTCATATTGTGAAAACTATCAGGACTATGGCTTAGCCATGGACATTTTTAGTGGCAGTAGGGATAGCTGAATGTTTTGATATAAGATTTGTGTAGGTGGGCTTGAAAATGAGGGAGTGATGGCAGTTTAGAAATCATGTCCTGATTTTTCTGCTCACACTCTAGGTTTTGTCAGCTCCCACTCTAGTTTTGAACATTCCACCATTCATTCCTATGGGACCAATTTTGGCACAAAAACGCCGATATTTCGTGAACCATTCGGCGAAATGTTCCTCAAAGTAATAGCACACCAGTCGGGAACAATCCGCACGTTTCGGTATATTACTTGTCTATGTAGTGTAAAAAACTGTGGGAGGAGTTAGGGTGGTAAATTTGGCTATAATATTAAGAATATATATGTGAGATAACAGTAAGTGGTCTTGCCATGCAAGAACACTTAAAAAGGTATTATGAAAGTGATGTAGGACTCTTTTCTCCTGCATTTATGAACCATTGAACTCTGTTATGCATGCCATACAATGAACAAATATGCAATATAAAAACATTTATAAAAAACTTGAAAGCACCAGAGTGTACTAGTTGTTACTGCCCTTAATTCACAATCAACAACACAATGTCTTTCTAATCTTTACACAATTATAAGCACAGATTTGTAGTGTCACAATAACTTAAAATTGATGTTTTATCTAAGGATAAGCCATAATAGATATTACCAAAAAATGAAATAAAAAGAAAGGCATGACTTATTTAGGATGAATAAGGTAAGTAAAATGAACAACCTGTTTTGCAGTGTGACTAAGTTCCACCGATATATCTCCAGCTGAATTTCCAGTGCCTACAACTAAAACTGTCTTCCCATTGTATTTTTCACTTGTTTTATAGAAACGACTGTGAATGTAATGGCCTTTGAAATATTCTATACCTGCAGAAAAAAAATACTTCGGATTTAAAAGGCTTTTTATTACTAAATGACCTGTGCTGACAATAGAATGAGGCCATTTGGTGATTTCCGTTATCATTATGATTCATGTTATCACATTCATGATCACTATCCTAAATAAAAGACAGTTTTTTGACGTGATTAGTCATATTTTTAATACCAATGCCAAAATTTCATGATTTCTGCTAGGGTATGCAAACCTTTGAGCACAACTCTATATACTGTGTATCCATTGGAGAGATTTCCTATTGTGTCCCAGTAACAGGGACTGCCCCCTGTCAGTTTTTCCTCCGAAACCTGGAAAATATATATCCGTTGTGGGAATCTTTCCCATTTAATAGCGCGCAGCAACATCCCAGAAGAAGGGAGTGTCTTTCCTCTCAAAACATGTTGGCTTCATTTATTCTCAATAAATGCTTCTTATTCTACCAGCAAAAGTGCATTCTTGGACATTGGGCACTCCTTCTTTCCTAGTATGCCAACTTTAAATTATAATTGCTTTCTTGGCTGCCTTGGTGCCCATGCCATGGTACCAATTTAAGTAGTAAAATACATCAGTTATTACAAAATGTAAGTTTCACCTTGTTTTGGAAATGCTCGTTTGATGTTTTCAGATTACTCTATACCTAGTGTACTTCAGAATTCTATGTTTGTTTTTAAAACTCACCTGGAAAACAGTTTAGTGGCAGGTAGGGGTCATTATAATGTCCGTTGCAGACAATTACAGCATTAAAAGTCACAACTTTACTTTTCACATTTTCGTTCTCATGCGTTTCAATTTCAACATTCCATCTTCCACTAGTAGTAAAGTCCTCACTTTGCTTCACACTGCAAACTCTAGTCTGCACAAAATTAGGCAACATGAATAAATATAGCTAACTTTAATGATGCTGGTTAATAAAACACCAATATTTATTGTGACGTTTACATTTAGAATGTTTAGAATAAGACATGTAACCCTTCATTTTAGGGTTTTCTTTTATAAACAATAAAGCATGTGAGATACCATCTAGTTGAAGATATTTAAAGTTCAAAGAGCTGTTTTCGGTATTATTAAATTATTTCTGTGTTCTGTATTGTGACGGGAGTGACTTTGGGTGGGGGGCCCATGGAACACAGCCCCCTTTGGAGGGGTGGGGAGACCCTTGTCTCAGCTCCCCATATCCCTCTTATGTGTAAGTCACCCTGTGTTGAAATAAAACAGTCCATTTCCTGTTTTAATACAAGTCTGGTGTTGTCTCGTCTTGTATGGTCAGCGGTGGTGTCTGTGGATCTGTGTCCGGGCAGAGAAGCGGGAGTCTAGAAGAAATACCCTAGTGCAGTCGGGGTGCAGTTCCTTTACATGTATGTACAAAAGAAAAATAATCAATAAAAAGCATACTCACAAAAGAAAACACTTTTTAACTAAAGGAACTAAAGACATTAATTGGCCCAGAGCCAGGACTTTCTTAGTATGATATAGTAACAATTAGGAATGTATAATTTTTTTCTAACTATTGCTAAAAAATAACACTTTAAGATGATTATTTTGTTTTAGATATCCTTTTTTTTTTTGTTTACTTTTTTTAATACAAATGTACTTTCTTATCTATATGACAAGTCAGGACTTAATTGGAAGACAACTGCTATACTTAATAGTGCCCTGGGCTGACCAGAGTAAAGACAGGGTATAGTGCCAAAAACACACCATACCCTTCTCTGGTATTCTTTGGTGCAAAAACACACACTTTTTTGGTATTCGTAAATTCTGAAGTAAGTACTGTACTGTATGTGATCTGAAGATTAACCCTTTCATCTCTATCCTCTCTCTGTATGTGACCTATACATTAACCCCTGTACCTCTTGATCCCTCAGTGTATGGCGTATACATTTAATATGTCCAGTGCGCCAGTAGCAAGCCCTGTGTTTAACCACCTCAAAACCAGTCTGTTTCTTCATTTCCAAAATAATTGTGACAAAAAAACCAGTATATCTAACAGTATATTATAAAAAAAAACAGCATATATATACTGGTTATATATATATGAAAAACAGTGTTTTTTTAAATACCACCAAAAAAAAGCCCTATCTGTCTTTAAAAATGATCTAAAATTAATTTGGGTACAGTAATATAAAACACAAGTGTGATTCAGCGCTGCACTAAAATCAACAATATATTATAACGCTTAAGTATAAAGTCCAAAATTTAAGGCAAGATGGAAAAAAAAAAGAAAGAAAAAAAAAAAAAAAAGAAAGTCCATGTGTAGCGCCTGCTTTCCTTCCTGAAAGTGGTTCTAAAGTCTCAAGGTTTTTTGCCTTCATGCATTCTATGTATGAAGGTAAAAAACCTTCTGTGTGTAGCAGCCCCCCACAGCTCCTCTAAAACTTATTTGAGCCACATCCCAATCCAACAATGTCCACGCAAGCCTCGGTTCTCTGGGGATTCTTACTCCTGATTGGCTGAGGCAGCCAATTGGCTCCCGCTGCTGTCAATCACAGTAAGTGAGCCAATCAAGAGAGATAGGGGAGGGGCTGAGCTGCGGTCACAACTCGGTAGCGTGCCTGCTCGGGTGCCCTCATAGCAAGCTGCTTGTTATGGGGGCACCGGAGAGACCCACCACTGCACAAAGCAGGTAAGTATGACATGTTTGAAGAAAAAAAAAAAACTTTAGTATCACTTTAAGAGTTATAATAAACTGTTGATTCAAGTGCAGTGCTGAATCACATTGGTGTTTTTCATTATGATGTAAGGAGTGTGATTTTAGCAGCAGAACATTTTTATATAGGTTTTTTAATATACGGTTTTTCTATTTGGTTATACTCTTATTTTCATTTTTGTTCTTGTGATCACAAAGGTGTGCACTGGAGTATTTCTGTTAATCATTTGTTTACAGTGTTGCATGACCAAGTAACTGTCAAACGATCAAAGTGCTGAAAATGGAAAAATGACCTGAAAAGGAAGAAGTGTCACATGCTTGTCTTTAAGTGGCAACCTTTATGTGGGTGATCTGATATTTGTCGCAGTAAGTGACCTGTTTGGAGCATCAGGAGGACATTTTTACATACTTTATTAAGAGTGCTGGGGAATGCAAAATTTTTGCCCCCATTACCTAGTGCTAAAAGATAGTGGATATGTAGCTGATCCATTTACTCATCTTCAGCATTTGAAGGAGAAGTACAGCCAAAGCTCTTTTAGCTGTACTACTGTGGATCACAGGGGCGTAGTTCATTCTGCACTCCTGTGACTAGTTTTCAGCTGAAAACAGATTGAAGCTCACTATCAGCTGACGTCATTTAGCTGGTCCAGGCTGGGGAAGCATCCTGACTTTAAAGTCGGGATTCACCCCCGAGTCTGGAGCTGCTCCTGGCTCAGTCTCTCAACAAACCACTGAGAACTGGAGCCAGCCATTCTCTCCCCCTCCACAGCCCAGCAATTCCGTGAGCACGGGGGGGGGGGGGCAGAGCAGACAGCAGTGACCAGGGGCAGACTGACCATTTAGGAACTCAGGCATTGATGTCAGTAAGGGGCCCCATGAGATGCCCCTGCTACCTTTTATAGGCTTTTTTGGTGTGGTTTGAGTGTGGGTGAGGACACAGGGGCCCCATGATCCCCTGTTGCCCGGGGGCCCCATGAGTTGTCAGTCCGTCCCTGGTGGTGACTGAAAGTTGCTCAAAGCAATGAAAACTCATATGATCACACTTGGAGGTGGCGGGGGACAGATGCAGCTTTAGACTGATGCTGTATCCACCTAGGTAAATTTAATTTGGGGTAAAAAAACAAACCCATACTTTTCTTTCACCTTAGCACATTACAAGGTAAGGTTAGGTGGATTCTTCTGCTGATTACCTCATCATCATAATTTAATATGTGGAAACAGCGTAATCATAATGTATTTGTTGTAATAACTGACTTACCTGGCACTGAATATATTTCAGCAGATCAAAGTGCTCAGCATACAGGTGAAGGTATTCTAAGATCTTGGAATGATGAAGATATACAGGAAAATCCTCTGGCATTGGAAAGTCACTGTAGCACATCATCTCTTTGGAGGTATTAGTGAACACAGACTGGTAGATACTGGCTCTTCCTTCTTCCACCATCTCCTGTTAAGGATATGAAATTTTATAGATCAAAATATTATTCATAACTGCCTGCATTACCCCACTACCACCAATCACATTCACTGCTGGCTCCTCCTCCCTTTCAAGTGCTTGCTATGGGGACACTAGTGTGGACTCACTTCTAAGCCAGGCTGTGTGTCTGTATTTATTCTGAATGGCACCCCCACACATCTCAGCCCGCAGCATGATTGTGGGTGCGGGAACCGCTGGGAAACCACATGGCCTTTATGATTTCCCTGCAGCCTCGTTTTCAATAAGGTGCATGCACCTTTTTAATCACTTAGATTGTAAGCTCCAAGGAACAGGACTCACCTAACCCTCTCAAAACCCTCCTCACCCTCTTAATGTGGAAATGCAGGCACAGCAGCCCATTCAAATGAATAGGCTGTCGTTCCCAAGCAAATGCGGCCCACTTTAAACACTCAAGTAAAAGAAGCCCACAATATTAGTTACTATATACTTTTGCAGAACTTACTGATGATTTAAATTATAGGGGCTTTTGCTCTCACTATTTACAAATACAAAAAAAGTGACTCCCACACTTAAGAGAGCAGTTCCAGAGACAGGCAAGTGAGTGGGCTGATCTATGGGCTGATACTATATGGCGGTAATGGTATTAGTGATCATCTCTGCAAGATCCTTTGCTGCATTCACTAACACAGGCTTAACCTACCCTTCCAAAATGCTAACAATCAATAAATCACAATGCAGATCAGTTTGGTATCTGCTTTCCTGAGTCAGTTTAAGCATAGATAGAATTTCTAAGTCCTAATAAAGGGGGACAGTGTGTGGCCCAAAACACATTGACATTCATCTGCTTTGAATCAATGTTATTATTGAAAACCTTGGTTTCTTAGACATTTATTTGGTGTTCATTGGAATGTATGTGTGGATTTTCAACTATAGATCCCTTACATGTTTTTGAAGGGGAGTCTCCGTCTTGTGGAGTGCTGCTGAATTGAAGCCAGTCTGCCAGGTGACAATTTCAGTGACCCTTAGAAAATCAGAATCCAGCTCCCAGTTTGTTCTTGTGTTTGCCACACTTATGACAGCAGCAGGGGCGGACTGACAACTCATGGGGCCCCCGGGCAATAGGGGATCATGGGGCCCCTGTGTCCTTGCCCAAACTCATAAAAGCCTATGAAAAAGGTACCAAGGGCATCTCATGGGGCCACCTACTGACCCCGGGCCCTCGGGCAGTGCCCGCATTTCCAAATGGTCAATCCACCCCTGGACAGCAGTTCCAGAGACAGCCAAGTGAGAGAGTGTACCCTATACCCTAAAGAACTAAGGGCTCATGCACAAGGCTGTAATGAAATTGCTGATCATCTACACAGGCTCATCTTGGCAGAAGCTGGCAAAGAGGTTCTGTGTAATAAAAATGCAAGTAATGGTCCATAATTACACATATATAGACATGTAGACCTCCATAAGCGTAAAACATCCATAGAATTCTTCCTCTATTCCTCTTCAGTAATTTACACATATACTATACATCACATACAAAAATACAGTAGAATGGGACCACAATAGAGCTCTCTGAATAGCAATAATTTATTAAAAGCTCCTAAAATCAACACATATTTAAAAAGCACCCACAGTGCTATGTATCTCAGCATGAATAAACATGGTTTGTAGTGTTCTGACTGTACAATCTCTTTTAGATCTACCAACTACAATGTAGTGCTAGGACCTGCCTGGTTAGATACAAAATGTTTAGATAGTTTAGGACGTTTTTCATATTACATAGTTTTGGTAAATCTAAAGTTGACTCTGCAAAATGTGTACAATAAGATTGTAATATGTATTGTGAGCATTACTGTCTGCTAATGTCCGCTATGTACTTGTCTGTTCTACAAGGAAAATTGCAAGGATCTGATCATTGTTATAGAGTTATTATGCAAATACTGTGACCCTACTTGCATATGGTAATATTGCATTGCCTTATACCTCCTGTTTCCTGTTCTATGTCTGACCTGGATGCAGTTCTGTTGTACAACATGATTCCTCACACCAGCATCTTGTGTTGTCTGCATTCCTGTACATGAAACATGGTGTCAGAAGTGACTTGAATCAGGACTGAGCCTCTTGTTTGGAGCACAGCAGCTTTGGGAAACACAGGTTTGTTTACTACAGCCCAAGACTGTGGATTTTCTGATATTTGATAGCTCAGAGCAGGGGCGGACTGACCATTTGGAAGCTCGGGCACTGCCCGAGGGCCCGGGGTCAGTAGGGGGCCCATGAGATGCCCATGGTATCTTTTTTCATAGGTTTTTTTTGAGTTTGGGCAAGGACACAGGGGCCCCATGATCCCCTATTGCCCGGGAGCCCCATAAGTTGTCAGTCCGCCCCTGGCTCAGAGGCTTACTGACATTATGGCTGCCATGAATTTCATACCTCCCCCAGAGGGGATGAGAATGTGTGGGGATTGGAGCAGCAATTGGGAATCTTTCAGAGCTGAATTTGAAGATTATTCTCTGGCTACAGGCTTGAATGAGAAATGTGCAGTAGTGCAGGCAGCAACTCTGAGAAGAGTCATGGGCAGTGAATGCAGGCATGTGTATAAACACAATGTGACCCTCACAGCAGATCAGCAAGACAATGCTACAGCCATTCTAAATGCACTGGAAGCTTATTTTGAACCTGCTAAAAATGTCATTTATGAAAGGTATGTGTTTTGATGCTGCAAACAAGAAGAGGGAGAATCTTTTGATAACTTTGTTACACGCTTGAGAGAAAACGCAGCAACTTGTGAATATGGTACACTCAGAGACGAATTGATAAGGGACAAAATTGTTCTTGGTATTGCTAGCGAGAGCACACGCAGGTGCCTCCTAAGAGAACATGAGTTAACTCTACACACAGCCATTGCAAATACTGTGGGACTGTGCATCAAAGAATTAAAGAGCAGTGTCCAGCTTATGGGAAGTCTTGTAAGTCTGGAGGAAGAACAAACCATTTTGCTAACGTTTGTTTGTCAAGTAAACGACGGCCATCAATAGGCAAATTACACAACGTGGAGAACACATTCGCATATGAGGAAGAGCCACACACCACTGAAGTTATATACAGCAGTGAATTGATCGGTGCTGTGCAATCCAGAGGAAAGAAATGGTTTGTCACTTTACATTTAAATAATAATCCCCAATCCTGCCAGCTCGATTCAGGAGCAATGTGTGATGTAATGTGCTTAAGAGACAAAATGGTGTTAGCACCAGAAACACGTCTACTGCCAAGTGACACCAGATTAAAGTTATACTCAGGTGTGATTATGAAATCTCTAGGGCTCTTCAAGACAGAATGTGCCATACGTGGACTAACACACAAGCTGGAGTTTGAAATTGTGGAAGCCTGCCAAAAGCCACTGTTGTCTGGCTCAACTTGTGAGCGTCTAGGGCTGATACGTTTCTCCGTCCCTGCAGAGCTTAATGTGATGGACAATCTATCCAAGGGGCCCTTGACAAAACAACTTCTGCTAAAGGAATTTAGTGATGTGTTTACTGGGCCAGTAGAATCTGTACCAGGGAAAGTTAATTTCGACCTTGATGTGAGTGTCCTTCCAGTCCAATGTGCACCACGCAATGTGTCGGTGGCATTAAAACAGGCAGTTAAGGCACAGCTTGACCAGTATGAGGCCAATGGACACTTGGCACCAGTGACTGACCCAACTGACTGGATAAGTAACATGTTGATTGTAAGGAAGCCAAATAAGCTATGAATATGCATAGATCTCAAATTCTTAAATATGGCACTGAGGCGAACTCACACTACATCATGCCAACTCTTGAGGATGTTTTGTACAAGCTGCCTAAGGCACGCCTGTTCACACTTGTTGATGTCCGGGATGCATTTTTACAGTGTAAGTTGAATGATGCAAGTAGTTACATGACAACCTTCTGGACTCCATGGGGCAGGAAAAGATGGCTCAAACTGCCTTTTGGAGTATCAGTTGCACCAGAGGTGTATCAACGTAAACAACATGAACTATTGGCTGGACTCAGTGGTATTGAACCAATGACATCCTTGTGGTTGGCTGTGGGGACACAGATGAGGAAGCAGAGCAAGATCATGATGGCAAACTTCTGGAACTGATGAATCGTTGTAGGCAGGTAAAATTGAGACTTGGCATGAAAAAACTGCAATTCTAGGTCAAAGAGGTCCGCTTTCATGGACAAATTCTAACCTGGGAGGGTTTGAAGGCTGACCCAGAAAAAATCAGAGCCATACTGGATATGCCGCAGCCAGAAAATGTGAAATCCCTGCAGCGCTTCATTGGATTTGTTACCTACCTAGCAAAATTCCTACCACACCTCTCAGAGGTGTGCGAGCCATTGAGAAGGCTTCTGGACAAGGACACTGTTTGGCATTGGCTTCCTAAGCATGATAATGCAGTGCAGGACATAAAAGGCTTGGTCGCAGACACACTTGTTCTGAAGTACTATGACGTTACAAAACATGTAACTATTCAAAGCTATGCAAGCAAACTGGACTTGGGTGTTGCCTATTGCAAGCTGGCCAGCCTATCGCTTTTGCTTTAAGGGCACTGACTCTTACCGAACAAAACTACGCACAAATAGAAAAGGAATGTCTGAGTATAGTGTTTGCCTGCCAGCGCTTTCACCACTACCTCTATGGGCGCGACGAGATCACGGCAGAAACTGACCATAAACCTCTGATTTCTATTTTCAAGAAACCACTTTTGTGTGCACCCAAACGTCTACAGAGCATGTTGCTCACATTACAAAACTATTGCCTAAATGTTGTCTATAAACCTGATCCTGAAATGTACATTAGTGACACTCTTAGCAGAGCTACAGCAGCAGGTGGTACACCTGAGTATGCACAACACACAGTTTGCAATGTTCAACGGGACCTGGATGTTATGTCACAGATTAATCATTCAGACTATTTAAATGTCACGGACCAACTATTGCTTCAGATAAAACAGCACACTGAAACCAATGAGAGTTTGCAGGCTCTTAAATATGTTGTTCTGAATGGTTGGCCTGATTCCAAGTTGGAAGTGCCATTACTTGTGAGAGAATATTGGACTTTCAGAGATGAAATCACCATTCAAGATAGTATACTGTACAAGGGGCAAGGGTCATCATTCCTAAATCTTTAAGATCGGAGATGCTTACTCGTATTCATGCCAGTCACATTTGTGGAGAAGCATGCTATAGGCAAGCACGTGATACCCTATACTGGCCCAACATGCAGAATGAGATTGGAGACTTTGTTAGCTGTTGCTCGGCATGCAATGAAATATGCGCAGGCACAACAGAAAGAACCTATGATGTCACATGTGCTGCCCACCCGGCCTTGGCAAATTGTAAGCATGGACTTACTGAATTGTGCTGGGCAGGATTTTTTCTACTAATTGGTGAACACTATTCTGACTTTTGGGAGATTGAGCTACTTCCTGACCTGTCTGCTGATACTACCATCAAGCGTTGTAAATCACAGTTTGCACGTTATGGCCAGCCGGACAGAGTAATCTCAGATAATGGCCCTCAATTTGCATGTGAGCAATTCAGACGGTTCTCTACAGATTGGGGATTCAAGCATGTTACCTCATCCCCGAGGCACCCGCAAGCCAATGGCAAAGCGGAATCGGCTGTCAAGATAGTTAAAAATCTTTGTAAGAAGGCCAAGTTTGATGGTACTGATCCGTGGAAGGCCATTCTACATTGGAGAAACACCCCAACTGAAGGCATGGACAATAGTCCTACACAGCGCTTGATATCTAGGAGACTGAAGACTTCATTGTCTGTGGCCAACAAATTACTTGATCCTTGTGTGGTTCCAGGTGTCCCGGCAAAACTGCAGCGGAAGAAACAGATTGCCAAACTATCATACGATGTGTCTGCTAAAGACTTACCTGAACTAAGCATTAAAGAGCCAATCCGTATGAAGCCGCTTACAGGTGACAGGACCGGTCGCTGGAGACTGGGTTCCTGTGTTCAGAGGGTTGTTCCTCAATCATATCTTGTGGATGTAGAAGGCAGTCTTTACCGCCGCAATCGAGTGGACCTGCGAAGGGCAGAACGATTCACCGCACAAGCCTATGAGCATCCTGCACGTGATACTCCTGAGGTGCTCAATGCCCCAAGTCCTACTGGACCATATACTCAAAGCAGAGAGAATTCTGCTGTCATATCAGGATACACTGAGGATGACATAATGCAGCCACATATCCCGTCAAGTTCCTCTCTGCCAAACACACCAGCCAGGAAAGAGGGTAGCTCCTTATCAACACCTTCTGGAGCTGAATAGATTTCCCCAGGCAAAATCCCTGTGGCCTTGCGTAGTGGTCGAGTTTCAAGACCACCAGATAGACTCAATCTGTAGTGTATCTACCAGTAACACAGTATGTTATGTTCAAGACTGTTCAGGATCTGTTTTAGTTTAATTGTTTACAAGGTTTGAATTGAATGTAAGAAAGGGAGATGTTATAGAGTTACTATGCAAATACTGTGACCCTACTTGCATATGGTAATATTGCATTGCCTTATACTTCCTGTTTCCTGTTCTATGTCTGACCTGGATGCAGTTTTGTTGTACAACATGATTCCTCACACCAGCAGCTTGTGTTGTCTTCATTCTTGTACATGAAACAATCATTTGGCTAAACTAGATTCCAGAATCTATGATCAGCATTATAGTGTATGTAAACTCTAACAATACATTTTCTTCTTTGCTCCCTTTTGGTCTATTAAATTATGTCTTTTAGACAAGTGCAAAAAAATGGCTGCTCATCCAGGAGCTGATAACACCTGTGCTTTCTGCCTCTGGGTTGTTATCAGCCTAAGTCTCTGCTATTTATGTAGACTACAAAATCCCCCCTCCTTGTTATGGAGAAGAGAGGGGGATGTAATGTAGTCCCAACACAGTGTTATGTAGTCCTAATATACACCCTTACCTAGGGTGCAACACTGCTCAGTACAGTCACCCTAGGACAGGAATTGTGTTAATGGCAAGATTACCAGGTTAAACAAAACAATAAATGCAACCCCCACATCTAAGGACTGGCAAACTGCAATCAATATTTGTTCTTGGGTTTAGATGCACTATAAAATTCTGGGCAATGATCTTAAAAAACTTGATTTAATTAGAACATTTCTGATCTAAATATAGCATGTGAGATGGTCTTTAGACATGTGTTGCACTATAACAATACAGAATGATATATAACTTACGGAGTATTTCCAGAGTCCTCCAATATCATCACTTTTTTCAAAACATGTAGGATCCAGGCCTTCTTCCAGACAACATTTGATGGCTGCAAGTCCACTGCACCCTGCACCAATTATAGCCACTTTCATAGCCATTGTTACTGAAACATCAAAAATCACAGTTGTTATATTCAGTATATATGATTATTAGCCAGAATATGTAACCTTTTAAAGCTTCTTCATGCCTATACAATCCTTCGCTAGGCTCTATCATGCATAGGTTTATGACCATACTATATTGCATTAAGACAGCCTCTTTTTTTCTAGAAAGGGCTGACAGCGCACAGGAACACAAGTATGACAAGATTTTTTTGTGTGGGTGCTACAGTGCAGGCCTGTCATTACCCATTTAGAATGATACAACAATGCATCGCAGAGTGCCGTGGTGTGCCTGACCACTGTATGTGCAAATATGCAAGCTCCATCTGTTTCAGCTCAAGTGAAAGGGGAGCACACTGAGGTACCTTTACCTTGGGTGCAGAGGACCTTTCTTGGTACTGCTTGTAGCTGCCACCAGGCTCCACTCTGATCAGAGGTCTGCAGGACATTAGGAACTGTAAAATCTGAGCACCAGGGAAACAGAGCAGGGCCAGAGGCAGTGTACACAGTGTACACCTAAGTGGGGCCCACAGCAGACATTTCTTAAAGCAAAGCCTACTGTGCACGTCCAGTAGCACCACCATTTTAGGAAGGACATACTTTCATCTCAAAAAACGGTCAGGGATGGGCTAGCACAATGCTCTGTGTGCTGTCATTGAGAAGGAAAAAAATCACATTGCCCATGCTAGTCCCAGGATTGATATGAAAGATTTCTTTTTTTTTTTATTGTAAATGTGCACTTCTATTAAGCTGTGGTAATTTGGGAGTGAGCAGGGGATGTTTTTTACTTCAAATAAAAGTTTGGAGAAGGGTGGATGGATTGTTCATCTGGGGCAGTGGAACTAATAGGAAGGAGCAAGCTGCTACTGTCTTTCTTGGTTGTTTTTTTAACAAAACTGTGTCCATTTCTTGCATGGGAATAATATGAATGTGCTTGTTGTGCAGTGGCAGAGAGTGAAAAAGTGTACATTAATGCAGTGGTAGAGTGAAGAAGTGTGCACCAGTGTAGAGGCAGTTCGTGAAGCCTGTACCTTTAGCAGAGAAACAGCCCCAAATAATAATGTTTCCACCTCCGTGCTTGACTGTAGAGATGGTGTTCTTAGGGTCATAGTCAGCTTTTTTCTTCCTCCAAACACGGCGAGTTGAGTTAATGCCAAAAAGCTCAATTTTGGTCTCACCTGACCACAGCACTTTCTCCCAATCCTTCTCTGAATCATTTAGATGTTCATTGGCTGTCAGGGATCCCCTCGATCCCTGCCGCGATGGTCCCGGCGCAGGCGCACTGCTCCGCCCTGTACACGGGCACTAGGTCCGGGCCGGCCGCGGCGTTCGGGTTCGCGCATGCGCAGTAGAAGCCGCGGCCGCCCGCTGGGCACCAATGGCAGCGCAGGGCGGGATATTTAAATGTCCCTGAGCTGTCATTTCGTTGCCTTCTGGTCTTACCTGCTTCCTGTGATTCTGAACCTGTGCCTTGTAAGTTTATTGACCCGGATTGTTCTTGACCTGCTGATTTCTCCTGCCCAGACCCTTGCTTTGCCTGACCTCTCTCCCTGGATGCCCCTCATTAGATCTGACCTACTGTTGCTGACCTGGCGTGTGACCCGACGATTCTCTGCCTGCTCCCTTGTACACTTACCGTCCTCTACGTTACCAACTCGGCCTGTCTGACTTCGCACTTGCTCAGCCATCCATCCATCCATCCCATCGGGGTCACCCGACCTCCTCACATTTGGCTCTCCCTGGTTGGAGCCCCTGGCGAACACCCCTACCACTGACAGGTGTGCTCAGTAGTGGCGACCTGGTCTCGGGGTACTACAAGTCCATCCCCACCATCAGGGGCCCTGGTGAACAAGTACCCTGGGGCTTAGACTCCGCGCTCTGGACACGCCTGACCAGTGGAGTGCTAGTGGTGCCGCTCGGCGGTCCCTCACAGTACCAGAAGGCCATGACTGAGCCTCGAGGAGGACCCTCCCCGATGGAGGAGGTTTGCAGGCACCTGGCTACCCTGACGCAAGCAGTAAACTCCTTGCAGGACAGATGTTTGCAGATTGAGAATCGGTTTCAGGCCTGCACCATATCTGCTCCTGTTTCACAGGCCCCGACTCCTGCACCTCCGGTCGCAGCAGCCCACGAGCCGGCTCCTGGGCCTTCCGCATCACTCCCTATGGCGGAACCCCGAGTACCCTTACCCGAGCGCTTCCACGGAGATCGCACACGCTTTCGGTCATTCCGTGACTCCTGTCTGCTCTACTTTGAACTGCAACCATGGACCTTTTTGACAGAATCGGTGAAAGTGGGGTTTGTTATCTCCCTGTTGCAGGGTGAACCCCAAGACTGGGCCCACCGACTAAGGGGAAATAATGATCCCCATCTGGTTACGGTTGACAACTTCTTTAACGCTATGGCCATCTTATACGATGACCCCAACGGGCGGCCTCGGCCGAGGCCACACATTATACGCACTCTGACAAGGTCAGCGAGCGGCTGAGGAATACGCCTCTGACTTTAGGCGCTGGATGGGAGACACTCGCTGGAACGAGTTCGCACTTTTGCACCAGTTCCGTATGGGCCTATCTGAGGCTCTGAAAGACGAGCTCGCTCGGGTGGAGGTGCCCGAGACATTAGAGGACTTGATTGCACTCACCATTAAAATTGACCGTAGGCTACGGGAGCGCAGATTGGAGAGGTCTGGTCAGGGTCGCGGAAATACCTGGGGATCATTCCAAGGATCCAGTCAACATACTAGGCCAAACATCCAGAACCTGCCATCTGAAGATGCTCTCGAACCCATGCAGCTAGGCCTGGCACGGCCTAAACTACCGCCAGAGGAACGCCAGCGCAGACGCTCCCAGAATCTGTGTCTCTACTGCGGTGAAGCTGGTCACATGGTACGTTCCTGCCCGCAGAAACTGAGTAAGTTCACCTCATCTTCTTTATCTATTGGCAATATGAATCCGTCCCAATACTTAGTTGTCCCCCTCTCCTTTCAGCTTTCAGAAAGGACCGTGGAGGTGACGGCCATAGTTGATTCGGGGGCATGCAGCTGTTTTGTGGATATCAATTTTGCTCACCAGCAGGGTATCCCCCTCCGTCCAAAGGAGAAGGGGTTTCACATCTTTTTGGCTGATGGGTCCCGGATAAAGTCAGGGGTGGTTAACCAGGAGACCCCTTCCATTGTGACTTCCATTGCCGGTCAGCACCGGGAACTCCTCCGCCTGGATGCTATTGCATCACCCCTTTTCCCAGTCATTCTGGGGCTCCCATGGTTGCGGGCCCATAACCCCCAAATTGACTGGGAAACTGGGGTTGTCTCGTTCCCTTCCCCATACTGTCGGGAACTGTGCCGAACTTCGGGCCCGGAGGTCCCCCAGGTCCTCCTGTGCTCTCAAGGGGATGCCAGCCTAAAACAAGTGATTCCTGCAGCCTATCATAAGTTTCTTGATGTGTTCAGTGAACGGGGAGCAGATACTCAACCCCCCACCGCCCATATGACTGTCCTATTGATCTGTTACCCGGTTCTGAAATTCCCTTCGGGCGAATTTTTCCCCTTTCTGAGCTAGAATTAGGGGCCCTGAAGGATTATATTGAGGACAGCCTCCGGAAGGGATTCATCCGTCCCTCCACTTCCCCAGCAGGTGCAGGGATCTTCTTTGTAGAAAAGAAAGACAAGACTTTGAGGCCATGTATTGACTATCGGGAGCTGAATAGGGTCACAATCAAAAATCGTTACCCATTACCACTGGTACCAGAATTATTCCAGAGCTTAAAAGCTGCAGTAGTATTTACCAAGCTGGACTTAAGGGGAGCCTACAACTTGGTTCGCATAAGGGAGGGGGATGAGTGGAAAACGGCCTTCCGCACCCGTTTCGGCCATTTCGAATACCTGGTCATACCTTTCGGGTTGTGCAATGCGCCGGCCACCTTCCAGCACTTTGTAAACGACATCTTTAGGGACTTCCTGGACATCTTTGTCATCGTCTACTTAGACGACATTTTGATTTTCTCATCCTCCCTGGGGGAGCACAGGGTACATGTAACAAAGGTGTTGGGGCAGTTGCGGCAGCACGGGTTGTACGCTAAAGCAGAGAAATGTTGCTTTGAACAGGCTAGCGTTACATTTCTGGGTCTGATTATCTCCACCACGGGGGTCGCAATGGACCCTCAGAAGGTCTCTGCGATCCTAGATTGGCCTGAACCCATGGACAGGAAAAGCGTCCAACGTTTTATCAGGTTCGCAAACTTCTACCGGAAGTTCATCAAGAACTTCTCGGGTCTGGTCTCCCCCATCACTCAGTTAACCAAGCTTGGGACGCGATTCAGATGGACGCCAGAGGCACAGGAAGCTTTTGAAGCACTAAAGAAGTTATTTACCTCGGCACCCATTCTGGGTCATCCCAACGCCTCCCTGCCCTACATCTTAGAAGTAGATGCGTCAGAAAACGCGGTTGGCTCCATCCTTTCCCAGCGAAAGGGCGCCAAGGAATTACTTCACCCAGTAGCATTCTTCTCACGGAAACTTACCCCTGCGGAGAAGAACTACGACATTGGGGATCGAGAACTACTGGCTATCAAGACCGCATTAGAAGAATGGAGGTACCTGCTGGAAGGTGCCTCACATCCCATCCTGATATTCACGGACCACAAGAACCTGGAATATCTGAGGACGGCCAAACGTCTGCGCCCACGACAAGCAAGATGGGCATTGTTTTTCTCAAGGTTCCAGTTCCACATCACATACAGGCCGGGATCAAAAAACATGAAGCCAGACGCGTTGTCACGTATGTACGAGGACGCCAAGGAGATCCCAGTACCTGACACTATTCTGCCTGCAGGAAACTTCTTGGCCCTCCAGACGAACCTTCGCTCTGAGATCCTGAGAGCGTCCACAGTGATGTCTACCTCCGATGGGGCGCCCCTCCAGAACAAGGGGGGACTCCTATGGAGGGAGGACCGGATTGTGGTGCCGGAGGATGCCCGAACCTTAGTCTTGGGACATTGCCATGACC